AAAAATGTTTTAATCGCGAGCCAACGGCTGGGATGGCTAACCATATGCGTACTGTCTGTGCAGTCTTGACTATCAGTTAACGCAGGAAGATGGAGTGTCTCTCTTCACTTTCTAAATGACTCGGAACTCTTGGTTGACGTCTCTTCCGGGCCGGTGTCAACCAAGCAAGCCATAATTGCGCAATAAATGGAAGCGAGGTATATTTTGTACCTCGGGTCAACATCAAATAAACTGACGAGCCCGTCTAACTAGGATGACGGTAATAGGTGTAATAGGGGTGGGTTCCTCTGGCGCATACAAAAATAAATCGACCAAATAAAATGAGAGAAAATGAAAGACAACATCGAAAGCCTTTAAATGCGCTAAGAAGTTAACTGGTAATTAAGCGCAGAAATTCGAAAAAATAACCAAATCGATAGTTAAGGAACTTCAGGCAATTGAATAGACTTTGGTTAACTGTATGACGGAAAGTCTGGTGTTAATAGAAACGGCAGCCAATGAGAGCTGGGAGCAGACATTTATCGAAAGTGCAAATAAAGCAGATTGAAACCTATATCCGGAGACGCAATCATTGTTAGAAAGTTACGGAAAATTCAAAACGAAGAACGAGAAGGAAGTATAACATGGTAATCTAAATGACACAATGGAAGAATAGAAAGAACACGCCTATTAATTTAAAGAGGTATGGCTTACAAATAGATATACACGTATATGTATACATATACATATTGGGATTAAGTGACGGCTCAGCAGGAAAAACATCCTCAAAGCCAATGAGAAAAACATAATTTCGCGCGTCCATGAAAATGTAAACATCACCATCCGTAAGTAGATTACAGTCGAAATAGTAGGAAACAGCGATAAACCGTAAACTGAATCTTTTTTTAAAACCCACACCACTGTAGGAATAAACTGCAAGAGAACAACGATCTCAGAGGAACCTACCAACGGAATTTGAGAAGATAATGGAAAAAATGAAGTACAAGGATGTGGTGTAATATTGTCAAGACAAAAGACTGCTGCCGAAAAGTTGGAAACGTAAATGCTGCGGAACAATGGGGCATCAAATTCCCAGGAAACACACTGACGGTTTCGTCTTCACAGGTACCCGCTGTGGCAACACTAAGACGCCACGAAAACTTTCAATATTTGTAGGCAGCCAGCCAACAATCATGAAGGCTATAAAAATCTGCCTGTCGTTCGTAAGAGGAGTGATAGCGCAGCATCGCCAAAGTGAATTGGGAGTCTGCCATGTGACGGCAGTGGAGCGATGCGGCATATGCTGCGATGTATGCCCCGCGACTCTCCTAAGCTATACCGTACTGCTTGGCGGCCCAGGGTTAGAAGTACAGACTGATGAGGCATTAGTAAGCTGTCGAAACTACAACGTTGGTAGGCAAAACAGTCGATTATGCGTGCTCAGAATGTACCATACGAAGCAACAGAAGGGGGCAGTCCGGGAAGTAAACGATAAAGCATTGCAATGCCTCAGACCGATAATAACAAAATGGGTGGCGAAATGGAGTATGATTGTAACGGACGAATGGAAAGCTCATTCAGGCCTGCCGCCTGAAAGATATGAATAGTAAACTGTAAACAACAGTAGACATTTCGCAAATGCAACTACGGGCGGACACACCAATCAAGTTAAAGCGCACTGGAGCCGCGTAAAAAAGTGATAATATGAATGAGGCCACGTGCCAGATCGAGCTTCCTGGGTCCATAATGATGCGGCACAAGGGCATTGCCTATTACCCCTAAAATATACTATACTATATATAATATCGCCTAGGGTATAAACCAAACACCAGCGACCTAAAACAAGTATCGAAAATCGCTCTGTCCCAAATGGCGGAGGTGTATCCCGTAGAGTGGCCGAACAACTGATGTGCCCGATGGAACTGTTGCACAGCAGCCAATTCTCTCAGCTGTAAGAATGTTCACATGTATCATGTGATTTCAAAAGACACAATCACTGGCATGCCGTTAAGTGAGGACAAAGCTTTCGCATGACATCTAACATGTCCGAGGTAAGGAGCGCAATAATGCGTCTACATAGACATTTCTCGAAGTATAATGAGTCCTTCGGGAAAAACAACATGCTTTGTTTCGTAAATTTTCGAGTCTGGTTCCCCAGTCCGTCGTCAGCCGTGTAGGAAGTGTGAAAAAACATGCCCAAAAATCGATATTGCTTTGTCAGGGCTGAGGATTGTTCAATGCTGTGAGCTGATGTCACGTCTTGATTGGCTATTGCCTTTTCCATTTTCTTTGAGATTTGTGTACATGGCGTCAAGGTCGATGAGTCGATTGATGCATGAATCAGCAGAGTGAATGGCCTCTAGGAATTCCCGGCCTTTCTTATGTGGGCAGTAACCGACAATGCGTGTTTTATACCAAGCGGATTCGTACACAGTGGCAAATGTAGCATAGGACATCATGAATAAGCCGAAATCTTCTCGTTTACTTTATGCAGTTGCGAATTATCCGATAAACAGTTCCGTAGGTTATCGAGCATTTCCCCCTCCATACACGTTTGAGGCTCATAAAACCGCGTGACGAACAGGCTTCCGGTTTCACAACTGAAAGCGTATTTTTTCCCCGCCAATGTTAGATACAGGACAGTTCGTTTGCTTCCAATGAAAAAAGACATCCCGACTTATTGTCGATATTTAATGAAGAAGAGCGTGAATGCATTGCTAAGTTTGTGCGCAGTTATGATGTGATTAACAATCTATGAGTAGTCGTGGAAATGATGTGAAATGCAAAGGTATTTAGTAGCTCATAACGATATAAATAGATAAGTGCTGCTTCACCTGGTCTGCGTATTAGCAATAAGGCATTGTGCAGCATACTGAAGAGCTCCAGGTTTTGTGAATTACAAATTGTTTAATCACAAAGGTGACACTCGGTAAACTGTAAACGAAAGATAATTTCTGCCAATAATTTCAAACAAGCTGGAATTGCGCTGTTATGAATAGGAATTGCATTTGATAGGAACTTTACTGAATCATAAAACCCATCCTTTGACGCGGACATTGTGATTTTGGTCTAGTGTCATAGTTCACATTGCGTTCAGCAATTAAATGGCACATGTTCTCTATCAAACACAATGTGAAGGGCGACGCGATGCAGTGAAAAGTGAGACTTACAAGAGTAATTCGGACAGGTGCAAACACCGCCAGCCGAGATGAGAAAGCACACTAGGGTCAGTCGCATAATGCCACTAGCAACTGCTCAATATAACATTGTATTGCGCGTCAGTGGAATTCACTCATTATACCCGACTGTGTTTCTGTGAATTGCATTGTTGCATTTTTTTACTTTTGATAATTTTATGTGGAAAACCTACAGTAGATATGCCAACTCATGAAATGTCAACCAAAATTTCGAAATGCGTTCTTGTTTCGAAAGGATAAATTAAGTAGTGTTGTAAAACTGATCATGATGCAGCAGAAATCTATAATGTTCCAGTCACCTCAGGGTGTCGGCTTTCGAAAGAACTTATTTTCGGCTGCATGCAAGATCTATACTCTGCAAAAAATGACTTCTTAACAAGCATGCAATTTTCTCATTGATTTTCAATGCCCTTGAAACTTCAATTATATTTCATGGGAAACATGCATTAAAATATTTATTCTTTTACTTAATCGGTAGAAAAGCACGTCTTCTTCCAATGTCATACTGAAAAGAAGAGTATAATTAGGTTTTAAAAAACTTTTCTAATTCCTGAATAATTTTTAACTCGATCTGCTGTTACACTTGCATTCAGGATTCAGAACTACAAGCTGTATATTTTCCGTGTACGGAAAACCATGTATTTCTCTACGGTGTTAAGAGGAGACCATATGATGTTCATAAAATTAAGCAGTGGATTTGAGCAAAATTGTTAACTTTACAGGCCACATGTGTAAATGCAGATACATGACGTTTCATGAACGGCCATTAAACGGTATTAAAAAATCGCAAAATAAGAAACTTTTTAAAACCGAATTATACTCTTCTTTTAAGTATGAAATTGGAAGAAGACGTGATTTTCTACTGAATAATTAAAAGAATGAATATTTTTATGCATGTTTTCCATGAAATATCATTGAATTTTCAAGGGCATCGAAAATCAATGAGAAAATTGCATGCTTGTTAAGTAGTCATTTTTTGCAGAGTATAGATCTTGCATACAGCCGCAAATAAGTTCTTTCGTAAGCCGACACCCTGAGGTAACTACACCAGTACAGATTTATGCTGCATCATGATCAGTTTTACAACACTACTTAATTAATCTTTTCGAAACGAGAACGCATTTCGAAATTTTGGTTGACATTTCATGAGTTGGCACATCTACTGTAATTAACAAAACTATTTTTGAGGAAGTTCAATTTGATGAACGTACGTTTTCGATTATTCTTCAGCAGCGAAGAGTGAGAAGTAAAACAGCGTATGAACAGCAGTCATTACGTGGGGTAAATGTGTGGGGCGGCGGGAGATTTTTAGTCTTGTTTCTGTCAGCGGTGCGGGAAAGGGAATATGTACGGCAATCTGACGGAGTTGTACTTTATTTCGTCACTGCAGCACGACGTGCCATGGCGCGGGTCTGTAATTTCATGACTCAGCTTTAACCAGGGTAATAGGTGGGCTTTAATGAAGGTCATCTGCGAGCACACGGCTGGTTTCTTCAGACGTATGGGCACAGTTTCTTCTGTCGTAAATATCCGCTGATGTAGGCGTTTGAAGTGTCTTGCGGGCGCATTATAGATGACATGGAATGCTTGTCTACTACTTGTCTACTTGTCATTCGTAAGAGGAGTGATAGCGCGGCATCGCCAAAGTGAAGTGCGAGTCTGCCATGCGATGGCAGTGGGGCGCTGCAGCATGTACTGAGATGAATGCACCGCAACCCTCCATAGCTAAACCGTACTGCTTGGCGGCCCAGGGGTAGACGTGCAGACTGATGAGGCATAAGTTAGTCGCCGAAAAAACAACGTTGGTAAACAAAATAGTCGATTATGCGTGCTCAGAATGTACCATACGAAGCAACAGAAGGGGGCAGTCCGGGAAGTAAACGAGAAACAATTGAGCTGCTACTACAAAGCAAATACGATGAAACGGAGAATCGTCTTGGATACGCCCAAGTCCTTCAGCTCTTGAAGCTCTGTCTCAGGACGTACTTCACGTTCGACGGGACAATCTACGAACAGGTGAAGGGCACACCAATGGGTTCGCCGATTTCGGGATTCCTCGCCGAGGCGGTCCTGAAACGGTTAGAGTCGCTGCTCTTCCAACACCACAGACCGAAATTCTGGGCCCGGTATGTGGATGATACCTTCGTCGTCATCGAACGGGATCAGGTGTTGACATTCCAAGAACATCTCAACGCCGTCTTCCCGGACATTCAATTTACGATGGAGGAGGAAGAGAACAACCAGCTGGCCTTCCTGGATGTCCTCGTATGCCGCAAGGATTGTGGTGGACTAAAGACCAAAGTGTTCAGGAAAGCGACAAATACGATGCAAGTACTGAACTTCAACAGTAACCACCCAATCAGCCACAAACGCAGTTGTGTAAGGACGCTCTATCGGCGTGTCGAAGCGCACTGCAGTGAGCCGGAAGACAAAATTGCTGAACTACAATACCTCTGACGGGTCTTCAAAGCCAATGGCTACCCGTGCAACTTCGTCGACCGGTGCATACGCAAAAGGGACGAAAGGCCTAACCGCACGGACACCAAATCTTGGCGGGCACTTCCGTATGTCAAGAACGTTTCGGAAGCTGTCGGCCGCCTTCTCGCACCACTTGGGGTTGGAGTGGCACACAGACCAGAGGTAACCATCAGGCGTCTGATCATGAAACCGAAAGACCCACTGCCACGGCTAGAAACGTCTGGAGTCGTTTATCGGATCTGATGCAGTTGCGGACAAAGCAACTACGTCGAAGAAACCGGAAGACAGCTCCGAACACGAATGGCCGAACACGCGGCAGCGGTGCGCAGAAATGACGCCAGCTCTCAAGTTGCAGCTCATTCAACGATATCCGGCCACACATTTAAATTCGATGAGGCCGAAATTCTCGCAAGAGGTGACAACCGATTGAGCCGGGAGCTACTGGAATCATGGTTTACTGGCCCCCAGTCCATCAACAAGTGCAACGATCTTCCCATTCCGTACTCCGTACTGAAACTTCGCCTAGGCGGGGTAACAAGCCATGCGGGGAGCGCACTGGTGAACACTCTTCCCAACACCGGGGTCGATGCGTCAGATGGTCGAGCAATCATCACGCCAACATCCAACGCACGTGATGAAATTGCAGCAATTATCGACTCGAATGTCGGCCATCGAGCAGTGATCACACCAAGTGCGACGATCCCGGATGAAGGGGGGAGCCGTGAATGTGCATAGGTATGCGGTAGCATGGCTACTGCATCCTATAAATACCGCAGCCCCTTGTGCAAAAACCACCCGTTTCTGCTCTTTTGTCTCTGATGATGGATTCGAGTAGGAATCCGAAACGTCAGGCTAATAAAGCTCTTGTCCCGGCGATCGTGTCTCCTTCTTCAAGACTACTTCCTGGGACTCGGCTCTTTGCTTCTATTTCCAGGCATTCTCGACTGGAGCATTACCAAAAGGGAGTGTTATTCAGCCGGATTACTCACCTGCCTAGAGAATGAAACGCCGCGAAATTGTTTTGGAATTGTGAACACGACAAGCCAACGGAGAAAAACATCGGCAATCTACAACGACCGCATAGTAAAACGACATTCTTTTCTCCTCTAGATCAAGCCGATTTGAATGACCGCACAGATACCCCAATAGCCTGTGTCGGGGTTGAAAACAAATCTGCATGAACTCCAAACTCATATTCATGTATACTAACGCGCAACGCGAACTTTCAAAGCTGGATGAACTCCGCTCCCATATCTAAGACTTCCACACAGACGTTATCTCAATAACAGGAGCATGGTTGTCCAAACAGGTTGATGATAGGGAGCTCAAGCTTCTTGGATTGCTACTGATCCGCAGGGACAGAAAAGACAAAAGGGGGTGGAGGTATAGTAACATTTGTTAGGAATGGCTTGTAGGTTTCAGAAAAAAACTGCCGAATTCACTTGTAGTACGGAAGCATTATGGCTGACCATAAGGGCACATGGCTCTTTCAGCCTCGATATATTGACAGTATATCGTCCCCCCGAGAAATGACCCTGACGCAGATACTCAACTAATGGATGAGCTCAGATTATTTTCAACACGGCCGACTACTCTCGTCGTTGGGGATTTTAATGCATCTCACATAAACTGGACCTCGGCCTCAGCCGACTGCTCAGAAGCAGCATTCGACCAGCAGCTACTGCGTACCTCCGACAATCTGCTTCTCACCCAACACGTAGTGTTTCCAACGAGAGTTCAAGAGGGTCAACATATGAACTGCCTCGATCTTGTGTTCACTAACTCGTCTGACAACATGGAGTTTGTGAATTGCCTCCGCCCGTTGGGTCAAAGTCACCATGTAGTTCTTATGTGGGAATACACCTTATTGTCCCTGCCTGCACAACCGCTCTATTCCCGACCCAGTATTTTGCGCATCGATTTCGGACAGATGAGAAAGGATCTTAGTCCTATCGACTGGGCATCCACATTCTCCAGCAATATCGAAGAGGTTTAGTGTCAGTTCAAAGAGGTAGTCCACAGCCTCATCTCCAACCACCGCCCAATCATGTGCAGAAGACTAACAAATAGACCCCGCTGGTTGACTCCGTCCTTGAATAAGGAAGTTAACAAGAAGAGGAAGTTATAGAAAAGATCCCTGTCTGGCCGGACGCCAGAATTCCTAAGCAGTTACAAGATACAGAGAAATTGAGTCAAAATTCTCATCGCCAGACATCAGAAAGCCTTTTAAAAGGATCATTTGAACCGTGTCATGGTTTAACCCCAAGCCCCTTACAGCTACATAAGACAGAGCACACGGAACAAAGATCCCATCCCACTGCCGCGAACGGCCGAGGAAACGGAAATCAACGATAACAAGGATAAGACTGAACATCTCTCTCATTTCTTCCGGTCTGTCGTGACAAGTTTAGGCAACCAAATTTCGGTGACTATTTTTACAAAGATTTCTCTATCAACATCTGAAACCAATACAGCATTTTCCTTCAAACGATGAATATCTGAAATGGTAGTCCGTATTAATGAGTTTAACGGAGGAGCTTCTAGGTAGGCGTGGTATAGATGTGCTTGTGTGTCCCTCCGTAGAATAAAACTTGAGTCTGAATTATAATCAGTTTATCAGTTAAGGTTGTGTGCAAATATAGCTGCGTTGATTGCATTTCTTCCGATTACTAAAAATAAAATACCGTTATTTGGTGTAAATCGCAAGTGCCGATGATTCAGCGCTTACTTTAGTTATTGCGTCGGCAATCCTTTGGGGTACGTTTAGCGGGATCTGCTTCATTTATTACTCAGGAAACACGAGACAGCACCCCAGCAGTGGTTATCAGGACGCATTACTGCTACAGCAAAGAATGCGTGCTCTATACAGTGCTGCAAACATGCCTCGACATTAGTTTGTCGGTGGATGTTAGTAGTTAGGCCTGTTTGCCTAATCCGATACCGCACATGTTAATTGTGCGTAACTTACATTCCAACTTCAACTCGCAGATGTAAATAGAAAGATGTAAGACGAATGTCGACAAATCTTCCATTTTTTGTATAGAGTAGGCCTAAGTGTCCACATGCAGACAGTTTCGTGATCAGGAGGGCTCCGAATGAAACATGTGTAAGAGCCCATGCTAAGTGTCCGCCGGGTAAAGTGGTTCAGACCGGCTGGGTAAACCTAGGCGCAGGACAAAGGAACCCGTGATAGTTCGCGGCTTTCCCTACTCTTCTGTTGAGATCTACCATAGCCAAAATAAGCAGCTTACTGTCTTCTTCCATAAGTTCCTCTTTACAGGAAGAGTAAATTGTGTTGCGCTGATTCCACGGATCCTTGACATGTGCACATCTAAGAGGATACTCTTAAAGCAGGTAAAAACCGTAAGGCCGCAGTCTAGCATGCTTGTTCTCTGTGCGATCTCGTTTAAATGTCCCTAAAGTTACTCTTTTTAAGCTGGCCGCCACGGGCTCCGACAACTAACCAATCAGCGTACATTCATACTTGCCGCACACATTGGTCGAAATCTTCGGCCGCCTACCAATTTTAGTCATCTGAAGGTCTAATTTTTGATCGATGAGTTAGAATCAAGTGTGTGGCCTTTAACCAGTGGATGTTACTGACAATACTGGCTTGAAGACCAACTCCAGCAACTGACCACATTTAATTTACAGTGTTCCACCTTTTTTAATTTCATGCGCTTTTGATCCGCGTATCTGGACTTACTTTAACATGCTTCTATCCAATTATCGCATGCGACTGTTGTTGATGATGTTGCTGATGACTGACATTATCATTGCTTTATTACATAGCGAGCGGTAGAGAATGAAGGTCTTTATTCATTATTTATCGCGAAAGGATATGGCATTTTGGCACAGCGTTTATTTTAGACGGAAGCAGGATGTTCAGTTCAATTTAGGCTGACCAACTGTGAACATTCGCTGAATAGGAAAAAATAATATTAACAGCCTTTCGTAGACGATAAACAAAGCACACATTGACAGGCAAATTCTTTACCCTCAATGTCACAAGATATCTGGTCTACAAATAAACTTTTACTGAAATGCATGGTATTAGCATCCAACATCGCACCCAGCTGATTTAGCTGGTTATAAACCATTTGATTCTGAAAGATGAATTTTATACCGGACTTTTGACCGAAACGAAGTTCACTGAGGCCGATTTTAAACAGAAAACGTTTAGTAACAATGAAAATTGCAAGGATGCATCTGTGGCATATGATCAACCTTTAGAGAAAGAGTATGTAAACAGCGGACAGCCACGTTCTAAGATATATCACTGACGCAACACTTATTTCGTGATATTTCAAAATATATTATGCGCGTGTATTTTCATACAACCGCGACTACACCACTAAAGTCAGTTAACTTCCGTTAGCCTTTCCAAATGAATATATTTTTACTAGCCTGTAATATTTGATCCCTCTTCATTTTCACAGGGTTTGGAAATTGATTGCTGTTTAGAAATTAAAATCTAGAACATTCGTCTTGCAGCACCGAGAATCGGTAGTTAGCCTAATCCCTTTGCAGTTACATTGATAACAGTTGATGTGTGGTGGGGTGAGAGATAACGATAAGTTCTGTGGTTGTTCATTAAATTTGAAAAAAATTATGAAATGGGCCACGTACCTTTAAACAAAATATTCTAATAATACGGCATGCATGCTCATAATGACTACTCTCTCATACCTCATATTTTTATATAACACGTTATTCTGACCACGCATTTATGCATTGCTGACAGCATTTTCATTTTTATATGATTTCGCCTATTTTATTAATTAACAAGTCTGAGTTCAATTTATTTGCGTTGTAAGAACAGCTACTGCGTTTCTCCCTCTGCACGTGCATGCATGAGCAGAATTCGTTTGGTCTTGGTTCACTCTCATTAGAAAATGAAACTGCGCTCCTCAGCCATCAATGGTGGCATACGCCATCGAAGTTGAGTTGTTTGAGCGCGTTATAGCATCGCGCGTCTG